AAATTTAGTAAAATTAAATTTTACTGAGCATGAGTTCAAAAGAAATACATCTATTGAGTTGAAATTACAATTCTTGTATACTTTCTCTTGGAGGAAAGTATATTACTCAAGTAGATGCCTTCATTTACACTTATCAGTAAAATATAGTACATCATAGAGAACAAGTCAATGAATTCAATAACATACCCTATAATGATTCAGAGTATTACGCTTCTTCCATTCTCCCTCCATTCTTGTAGTCTGATCCTCGTCGTACAGGATCAGTCGTCCTGAAGTACCTGTACGCCACTCAAGATCAAGGTCCTCACGCCTTGGCCTCTGAGAATATGAAGTGGCTCGGTAAATTGTATCAAGAGCTTTATCTTTTACTTGGGATATAGTATCACAGTCCAACACTTTGACATTAACATTTTCTGTATTTGGATCCAATCCAGTAACAAAGACTGTCTGTTGAGATATTGAAACATACACCGTCTGAAAAAGATTACATCTGGTTAGTTTGGCAGGCAACAACTTTCTTACAATTTCTTTGTGGTGGCATAGTGACATGAATTAAGTGAATTATCAACACTCACCATAACTCTGAAATCAATGGACTGACGAATAAGTTTCTCTTCACTCAAAGAGTAGCGAGCCTCTGAAGTGACAGCATCCACAGGGCCCTTGTCTACTTGATGCTTCACAGCACGGAACAACATGTACAAGGGCTCTCCAGCACATTCCCGCAGGAATTTGTACAGAAGGAATGTGAACCAAGCAGAAAGCATTTTTTCAGCAACACTTTCAGTGCGTCGAAGAAGCAATTTAGGGTGGCTCTTGCCCTCCATACATTTTTCAATAAGTTCGGCTAACAGTGTCTTGAGAATATCAGTACAGTACTCCATTTTACTCTGAAGAGTTACCATAATTAATGAGGCAACATTCACTCTGTCCCGCATGGAGAAATATCTATTGCTTTCAAGTGTTCTGATAAAAAGCAGGAGGAATGTCTTGTTCATTATGAGCTGTCCAAATAGTCGCAGGCCTTTTTCTTTCCTGTGCAATTCTGGTCTCTCCCATTGAAGAACAGCATGGTCATCCATATTTGGGAATAGAATCTTCATTGCATAAGTTCGATAATCCAAGAATGGAATACCACCAAGAGTGAGATCTCCTGTCAGATCTGTCATCTCAGTCTGAAGTTCAGCAAAGGCTAAAACAAACAAAAACAGAGATATAGTAAAAATTGCAAAGTATAAAAGTCTCACAAGAAACATACAATTTTTAAATAAACTCAAGTTTAAAGAGGAATAATCACATACCTTCTTTGCATTCAGCAGCCACACGAAGCTCTAATATATCCATTTGTTCCTGCATATTCTTTAGAACACGATTGGATTCTGTTGACTTTCTTCGGTAGGCAACAATGAACATGACAAAGACAACAGCCAACAGAGCAATGACAATGATGATAATAATCATGACAGTTTTAGAGGGAGGGCCATTTAATCCACTAGGAGAGTAACTAAGTTTTCCAATGGAGTACCGAAGTCGTCCACCAACAATTACCTGCAAAAATAAATTGACATTGTAGCCAGAAAATTTTAAAGACCACAGTTTATACATTGTAGATTTAAGACATAAAACAACTTAAAAACTATACTTACAACAACTTCAGGATAAGCATCTTGAGAAGGACGTCCATTTTCATCCACTGATTGGGGTTGGACACTTGGGGGACGACATGTCAATTGCTGTCTTGACAATGATGTTACATTACATGACTCATTGCCAATTTTAACGACAACATCAGACTCTTGACATGCTCTATCCAGATGCTGTCCATTGATTGTCAAGTAGTCACTCTTGTAATATTTGGGATCTTCTTCAAACTTTTCATAAACAGGGTTTGGATACAAATGGAAATGAGGGAAGCTAAATCTTGTCAAATTTCTGACGCCTGCCACATCATCCATTTTGAATCCAAACTGTAGGCGTAATGGATATTCAGCATCTATCATTACCCCATCACGTAGAGTTACAGTGGGAGAATCACATGCCATATTAGAGTTGGAAAGAACAGAGCACTGTCCAATGAACATCTTGTCGTCATAATAAGCATATATCTGTGGATTCTCAATGTATGCAAGATTCTTTCCAGACACAGAAATTTTGATGCCACCTGCAGGAATGCCTTTGGGCAATTTCACTTGTCCTGCAACTCCTGACTCAGCTGATTCAATGGTTGGGTCCTCTACATACTCAAACTGTTCCTTGTCGAAGTACCGCTTTCCATTGTCAAAGTGCATTTTCAATCTTCCATTACGCTGCCTCTCTGAAGCACTTGTAATACATTTGGCTTCTTCTGGCTCTGTTTTAATGATCCGACAAGGAAGATCGTCAATGTAAGCTTCAATTAGACTACCAGCATTCATATATTTTCCCATGATTCTCAGTGTTGTGCCTCCAGATCTTGGCCCGAATTTTGGTGATATCCCTTCAATGGCAGGGTCAACAAATTCAAAGGGATGTTTTGATTCCCCTCTGAAGCCTTGAACCCGCACTATCACAGGGCCCTGCCGTGGTTCATTGGATCCTGGGCCATCAACTTTGCACACTATCTGTTGTGTTTTTATATATAAGTGCTGATATGGTTGGCACTGCAGTCCAGCGACATTGATCTAAAAGGTCCACAGGAAAATAAATTAGGAATAAGGATAATGATAGAACAGTAGTTTTCACAAATGTCAAAACTTAAAATACCCACCGTGCCATATATGTCTTCATAACTCTTGCCAAGATTAACACCACGGATAGTTATATTTGTGCCACCCTCCCAAGGTCCAAGCATTGGAAAGAACTCTTTTATCTCAACTTGTGGACAAGTCTGATTGCTGTCCAGCCAGGGGCGAGGCCCATTAGTTCCACCATCACACTGATCTTTGACCTCACAGCGGTCAGAGCTCTGACACCATCCACATCCATATTTCTCATGGAGTGCATGACACATACCACAATTATCTGCCATATCCCTGCATCGGTAGATTACAACTGTAAAAAGGAAAGGAAAATAATAATTACTGTAAAGTCCTCAATATAACACATCAATCTCATGATGTAGACACATAATAATACAAACCATGAATGTTGTCTGGATTATCGAGTGGTTTAGATCCTCCCCAAATAACGGCAAAAGTCGCTGTTATGTTGGGGGCACGGGAAGTGTAAGAAAACTCCATGTGATCACAATAAATTGTGTCAGCCAAAAGCTGGGCATTGACACTAGTAACTCTTCCCTCAATATTGAATTGGCAAACAAAACGGGTCTGAACAATAAACTGTCCAATGATATGCACTTTTACTTTGATGCTCTTCTTGATACCGGAAGGGACAAGAATTTCTGTCGAACCACCAGCTGTTGCATTGAGGGTCGGGCAGAAAGCAGGTCCACTACGATAACTTGGTCCAATCCGCTGCAGAAGAAATTTCCAGATAGATTAATTTTCTAAAGTAAACAAAAAACTAAAGGAATTTGATAATCTATTGTACTTACACTGACTCCAGTAACAAGAATATCATTACGGCAATTTTCTGCGGTATCATGTGTGCATCTGTGTCCATCAACACACCAATCACAGGGGAAGGAGGATGACACACATTGAGTGCAAGAAACGTAAGTGTTGCAGTCAAAGAAAGTGAAGTTAGTTGCTACAAAGTCAGGCCCTGAGGTCATTCTGACAGATAACTTGGCCGTAAAGTGATCTGGAACGAAACAGAAAGAACATGCTCTTTCAAACATTTTTCACTTACAGAAATACCTTTACGTGCCGGGTGTATGTTTGAATGCGCTCCAGAGTAACGGGTTTACCTACTCCCTTCGTCCTTATAAGGCACCATGGCAGCCCTAGCGAGTATGCAATAGCGTGTACCAAAAGACAAGTTTGAGCACGACTTGGGTATGCTTCCCGATCTCGGATTTGAACCAAACGTAGCTTGTTTTAGAGACAATTTGCCTGCATGGATGCAGGCTTGTTCTGTCAAAATCCGAGATAGGAAATGATACCCAAGTCGTGCTAAAACTTGTATTTTGTGACAACCTAGTATGCAATCCGACAATACACTGGAGCGCATTCTAAGATACACCCGGTACGTACAACAAATTTGTGGAGAGGCCCAGGCATTCTACCCTCCTTCACAGAAGCCTTTCGAAAATTCAACTCGCCCCTTTAATGCCCCCCCCCCCTTTTCCCTCTAGCTGCGGACGCGCTAAAGCTACCCTCCTCGCTTTCCCTTTGGCGATCGTTCGACTCATTACAACCTCGTTGTTCTGCGCGGCTGCCTCCCTGGCTACTCCAAGGCCCGGCCCCCGGCCCTCCCCATAAACTGGCATTTATGTTTCCCCTCGGCCCGGGCCCTCCCCTCCTCCGCTACACCTGGACGCGGCTCCCGACAAGTCGCTGGGTCGTTCCGTCCACTGGAAGAGCCACTTGGAGCCGCTCACCCTTTCCTTTCCGTTGGAGGCAGGAG